TGAATGTTCCTAGTTTGTTTATTGGAAGTTGTTACAGTGTTCAGAATTGGCTTGTGATGAGTATGGCTATTTTCTTGCTTCCTTGTTCTGATAAGTTAATGATTTTATTTCCCACAGAGAGATAGTGGTACAGTTCAATGCTGATGTTGCAGATGGAATGCCATGGAAATTTGTTCCTACGCAAAGAGAGGTTTTTAAATCTTAATCCAAGTGCTCAACTGATTTGAGTACTGTACTTGAACGAACATCATTTATTTTCTATTTATCTTCCATCTCGGTTCCTTCTATTGTAGGTGAGAGTCAAGCCAGGGGAAAGTGCCCTTGCATTTTATACTGCTGAAAATAGAAGTTCAGCTCCCATAACTGGAGTCTCCACATATAATGTCACTCCAATGAAGGTATCATAATATTTGGTGATATTCCAACTCAAATCCCTATGTTGATATAATTGCACTATAGTTATATTTGACTTGTTCAGCAGTAATTAACTTCAAAAAGCATGTTTTAGTTTTACTGAGTTGGGGCTTTTCATCAGCAATAGAGTTGTATGTTTTCTCTTGTCAGGATTAGGGTAGGATATTATGCTTCGGATTTCTTCATATCTGTTATGCATAAGAGTAATGTTTTTACTGTCAATATTGGTGTTTGGATCTAGATCGTGTTCTTGCTTAAATTAGGAGCATGAATTGGTTTTATCTTGGTATAGGCCTGACCATCAGACTGCTTATGCTCTGCCCTGCTTATGAGCTACTTGACCATGCTAGTAATCCCTTTGTACTTGACAAACTTGCATAAGTTAATAAGCTTGAGAGCTATTCATGTCCTGTTAGCCTGTAATTGGTGCTGCTTCTGGCCTTCTTGCGGCAGTTTTGCATGCGTACTTAGTCTAGAAGAGGTTGAAAGTTGACAGGATAGGTGATCGTTTGACCTCAGCCACAGATTGTAGCTTCATGGTTACAAGTGGATGTAGAGATGTGAGGACCAAATATAGAAAATTTCTGGGAGAAATTGTTGTTTCATTGTTACTTCATTTTCCCAATAAATTGATGCATGTATCTAATGTTCTAACTAATATTACTATATCTATTCAAAAAAAAAAGAAAAAAAGAAAACTAGTATTATTGTAACTCTCTATGAACATGTGCTAATCCGAGGAGAATTTCAAGATGAAAAATTGCTTTTGGCTGATTATAACATATTCTTGGGTGTTATTCTAGGTGTATTTTTAAAATTTGTCATCATCTCCTGGAAATTTCCTACTTGAAACTCAATGGAGAATAGTTACCCAGTTGTTAATTCTTAATCTTCCCTCCCCCTTTCACCCAGGCAGCGGTTTACTTCAACAAAATACAATGTTTTTGCTTTGAGGAGCAGCGTCTTCTTCCAGGGGAGCAGATTGACATGCCGGTAAGTAGCACATACTCATAATTCTCGAAAATGTTTTAGGACCTAAACCACAAGAAGCTACAAAAGAAACACATTACTATTTTTGCAGGTTTTCTTTTATATCGACCCTGAGATTGAAACAGATCCTCGAATGGATGGCATCAATAACATAATATTGTCATATACATTCTTCAAGGTCTCGGAGGAATAGAATCAAAGAGTTTAGATGAAAGTAGATTTTACTACGCATAATGGTTGAAGCAAATAAAAGAAGGGTCAGATGGCCTGAAAAAATTTTGTTCTAAGAGGTAGAGATCATAATTAGTGTAGTGATTCTTTTGGGGAATTAAACTTTTCTTTTACTTGCCTCGTTCCCCCACCAGCCCATCTTTTCCCTTTGTTATAATTGATGAGAGTTCATATATATATATATATATATATATATGTATGTATCTGATAACGTGGATGTGAACAAAGGAGATCTCCTGTTATGTTTTTTCTGTTGTTTATACTGACAATAAGTTGAAGCCCTTCTATAAGCTTCGGCATAAGGTAGATGGATTAGGGCCCATAACATTTTTATTTAGGCCGAATTGCAAATTAGGTCTCTAATAGTTATTTTTTCTAATTTTAGTCCCTGACAAACAGACATTGTTGTTGTTATTGTTCTCCATTTTGTCTCGCACGGTATATTTCTTTAACGCTGTTTGATCATATCCGCGTTGCCTCTAACTTAAGTATATTTAATTAAATAAGTTTTAATTATTTACCATATAAAATTAATCATTAATTATACTTGTAATCTGTATCAAGATTATATATTCTCATATATTAGGAAAGAAATTATAAAAAAAATATCTGATTTAAATAAAATATAAAATAATTTGAAATTTAAATATTATTTTTAAATATAAAAATATCTAATTTTTATTTGTACTGTATATGTATAAAATTAAATTTCCTCAACGTCATGGACGGTTGACAAAGTTGCTCACTAGTGCAAAATGTTTGAATCTCCTATATTTTAGTAAACGTGATATCAATTGTATTATATAAATTAACTATAGTTTAGTGCGTATTAATTGCAGAACATTATATTTTAATTTGCCTGTTACACTGCAAACATGCCTTCAAGGATCACGTCGGAATTTCGTCCTCACCAAACTCTTCTGATGGGCGGGAATGTCGTATGTTGCCTTGAGAATCTGACTTTACGGTCATCGGTCCACGCCACGTGTCCACATTTAATACGCTGGTCAAATCTACGGCAACACGCATGGAAACATTTCTCATAACCAAAAAAACAGAAAGACCCGACCAAATATAAAGTACCTCACAAATTTCCCCGTGAATGGCGGCGTCGGTCCACGCGCCACCACGTCTCCAAGACTTCATACTTTTTAACAAAGTTAATCTTCGGTCACGGTAATCTGCTGCGGGCGACCATTCTATAATGTTTATTATATCAACCAATCATTATCTTCCACGTAGTGATCAGCCTGATTGGTGACGTGGCATAGTGGTACGCGTCGTACAATATCTGAGCAATTGACAACACGACACCCATGAAACCAGATCGATCCAATATGCTTCTTCATTGAGATCTCCGAAACCGGACGGATGGGCCCCACAGATCTCCAGACCGATTTTTCGCTAACGTACGCAGTGGGCGGCACATTATCCTCCTCCTGCTTCTTTTCTCCTTCTCCACGCCGTTTCTTCATGAATTTAACTGATCACCTTTTTTGAAATTGTTGAACTTATTATTGTTTTTCAAAAGAATATCTTTTGAATTCCTTTCTCTCATGCATGCCAAATAAGTAATCATGTGTTCCATCAAATCGGGGAAAATAGGAAGATTTGAAATCGGAGAATCAGCTCTCTGCAATTATGTTTATTTTCTTTTCATGCGTCATTGATTTAAATGTTTGTATTTTCATGCATGTAAAGCTTTAAAACAAACTCTGTTTCGTTATACTCGCTAAACCCATGTAAAATCTTTAATCAAAATTTGAACTTTCATTTATTTACAGAGTTTTTTTTTTCTTCCCTAAAGTTTCGAAGTTTGTTGATACATGTAAAAATCAATGAAACAGCGAACGATACAAAAGAAGGAAACCATCTCTTTCTTGCTCACGTCCATCACCACCTTAAACAAACAAGGAAAAAGTCAAAAATCTAATTTTTTGATTCTTTCATCAATTATACATATCTTATAAATAAATCCTTATCCTTCTTCTTTGATTGGGTTTTCTCTCTCGGTGCGTGTTTAAGTAGAAAAGCATGGAATCTGATAAACCCAATTGGGGTGCAATCATGGGTGCCTTTACCAGAACCTCATGGGCGTTTGTTCTCCTTCTCTTCACCGTCTTGGCCATTTTGTCTCTTCAGATTTCGACGAAATCCGTTCTCCCCATACGAGTATTTTCCGGATCATCAGAAGCCGCCGGCACCTCGTCGCCCGACCCGAGAAGCTGTTCCGGGTTCTTCACGGAGTTGCCACCGAGAAGAGTTGTTATGTCGATAAAGGAGTTCGGCGGAGTCGGCGACGGGGAAACGTCCAATACCGAAACGTTTCGGAAGGCGATGAAGTACATGCAACGTTTCGTGGACAAAGGTGGCGCCCAGCTAAATGTCCCCCGAGGAAGGTGGCTCACCGGAAGCTTCAATCTCACCAGTAATTTCACTCTGTTTCTTGAAGAAGGCGCTGTAATTTTGGGATCCCAGGTAAAAAGTTTTCTTCTTTTTTTGAAGTAAAGTTTCGCTTTTCACATTTTCTTGTTCTCAGTTACTGTAGTTTACTAATATTCTCTTGTTCTTTTCAACTTTTTCTAAAAAAGGAAGAAGGAAATTGATTACTTAGGTAGTTATTTGATGGAGATTCACAGGATAAAAGTTAAAAACATTTTGTCTTAAGATACAAGGAAAACTTTGTTGTTGATTTCGTATTGGTAAATTGCTAATAGTAGCCAGGGTTTAGCAAATAATTCAGATGTCATAACACTTATATTGCGAATATTTTATGGGTCAAATTCGAGATCCTCGGCCCATTCTTGAAAAAGAAACTGTTTCCAAATAGCTTAGTTCCTAAGCAAAAACAATTTTCAGTAAGTGTGATACAAGTTATGGAAAACTCGATGGGAATTTCTTAAGTATACAAAAAGAATTTTTGCAATGTTAATACAGTTGGTTGTTGGGTGTTTTTAGCGAAGTTGAAAGGGGGCTTTACTGGTGGATGATGATGAGGAAAGAGGGTTTCCCTTAAGCCTTAAAATGTGGGTTGATTGAAAAGTTAAAAAGAGAAAAAGTTTAATTCAAAGTGTTAGTTTTGAAATTTTGACATATTCTTAAAGTGGGTATGTTTAAGGAGGTCATGATTCTCATCATCAAGTTTCATTTTTCTCAATCTTTTTCTTCATAAAACACAAGAAAAGTTAGGCATGTGCTAAGGTTCCAGGTGAATAAAAGGACCCACCAACCATCCACCCACTTGACCAACAAGCTTATTTTACCTTTCTCATTAATTTCCTTTACTACCCTTTTCTTATTCTATATTAGATTAGTATGAGATACAATCTAATCTGCTATCCAACTGGGAAAGACTAAAGAAGAATTACTTTAACAGAAATCATTTTTGTCGAAAAATGCATGGGTTAACTTGGGATTTGATTACTTTGATTTATCATGTGTTGCACTCTTCATTTGTTTGCTGATTGATCAGTAAGCGAATCATGTTATGTAATTATGATTTTGACGAATAGGATATAAATGAATGGCCTATCATAGAGCCATTGCCATCATACGGGAGGGGGAGAGAACGGCTAGGAGGAAGACACATTAGTCTTATACACGGAGACAGGCTCACAAATGTTGTCATTACAGGTGCCAAAACCCTTTACTTTTCTTCATATCCCTAAGTTACATGTTTAAAAAAATTTGCTGCTCTTTTGGTGCCTACCTAATCTTTTTTTTTGGCAAAAAATGTTTTCTATTCTTTTTTCTAAGTGGGTTTTTTTTGAGTGGTATGAAGAATAAAATCAATATCTTTCCTTCTTTGGATGATCGAATAGATTATTATATCTTTACTTTTGGCCCTTCATTACTCTAGTGGTTGTCAATATGGCCTTGTGTGCTTTTTCTCTCAGTCTCCATGATAGTGGAAGACAAATTTTCATCCAAGATTCTGGTTGTATGTTAAGATGTCAGATTAGTGCTACTTCTCAGTATTCATTTCCAAGTAAAACAAAGTGCTATAGAACTTTAGTTTGTATTACTTATCTGAAAATGCAGATGCTGTATATTTGGTACTTTAAATCATATTGATTATTAATTTATTATCTATCTATTCATAAAATTACGACAAATTGAGATATAGTTTCTTCATGTCTACTTTATTGATCTTCACATAGTTTTGATTTGGTTGGTAGAAATTAGAAAGTCGGTCATAATGGTACTTCTGTACCCCAAGCCTTTTGCTCGCCTTTGAGTTATGTGCCTTCCCTTGTGCTGGGTTATATGCCTTTGTGTAATTAGCAAAGAACTGAAAAATTAAGTGGTCAAGCTAAAGATTTTTAGTAGTTTCCCTTATATCAACTGGTGCTACCTAGGGACTGATAGCAGTCCTAGGCTGCCAAAACTTTTTAGTTGCTTTGGTGTCTCAGGGGAAGAAGTATTTTCATAAACTGAAGACTGTTTTTGTTCATGTTCTGTTATTTGAGATGCTTAAGGGCACGAATCAGTTTGTTGGGTTTTGCAGGACAGAATGGGACTATTGATGGTCAAGGGAGGATGTGGTGGGAATTATGGTGGAATAGAACATTGGTGCACACAAGAGGTCACCTCCTTGAACTGAAGAACTCTCGTAATCTACTCATCTCACACCTTACTTTCCGAAATTCCCCCTTTTGGACCATCCATCCCGTCTACTGCAGGTTTGACATTTTGTAGCTTTTCCCTCAGCTCTATTTTTTTCCTGAAAAAACATTTTTCCCCGTTAACCATCATTTTGATATCTCTCCATTTGTTTCAGTAACGTTGTTATCAGAGGAATGACAATCTTGGCTCCCCTCAATGCCCCTAATACTGATGGTATAGACCCAGGTATTTTCTTTTCTATTCCTTGAGTTCTTTCGCTTCTAGGTTCCCTTCCCTTCTCATATCATTTCACGTCTGCATAGACTCAAGCACGAACGTATGCATTGAAGACTGTTACATCGAGAGTGGGGATGATCTTGTGGCAGTGAAGAGTGGGTGGGACCAGTATGGTGTTGCCTTTGCACGCCCAAGTTCAAACATCATCGTGCGCAGAATTTCTGGCACTACTCCAACATGTTCTGGGGTTGGAATTGGAAGTGAGATGTCCGGAGGGATTTTTAATGTAACCATGGAGGACTTGCGTGTTTGGAATTCGGCAGCTGGGGTACGTATAAAAACTGACAAAGGTAGAGGGGGATATATAGCAAATATCACTATGAGTAACATAACAATGGAGAGGGTGAAGATTCCTATCAGGATTAGCAAAGGTTCAAATGATCATCCTGATGGCAATTGGGATCCTAAAGCCATCCCCAAAGTAAAGGGTATTTTTATTAGCAATGTTGTCAGCTTAAATTCAACCAGAGCTCCATTGTTGGAGGGTGTTGAGGAAGCCTTATTTGAAGACATATGCTTAAAGAATATTACTTTACTTGGCCTCCCAACGGCCAGGACATGGCATTGTGAGTTTGTTTCGGGTTCCAGCAGTAGTGTGTTTCCAATGCCATGTCCTGAGTTGCAAAATAATATCTCTTTATCCTCCCGGTGTTCATTCTCTTGAGCTTCTCTTTTCAGTTCCAGGATGGTTTTTGGGAAGTTTCTACTTCTGATGATAAGCTTTGTGTTATCATCTCTGGAATTTGAGAAATGTGGTTTTACCCAATTTTGATGATCTTTCCAGAAAATTGGTTTCTATTGAATTTTTGTTTTTCGTTTTTGCCAACTTGATCATAGACATTGTTGAGTAAGTCCAACAAGCTGTAAATGGATACTGTGAAAATTAGAAGATGTAAAGAGAAGTCAATTGAAATTCTTTCGAAAGAAAATCTCACTTCATAATTGAAAGATTAGTATTATTTGCCTCCGCCGCAACTGCTATCGATACCTTCGACGTTATTGCACATTAGTTGCTGGTGTCGTATGCTTGTAGTTGAATATCATTATTTTTATATTATTATTATTATCGTTATAACTATTATAGTTGTTATTATCATTACTATTATTTTTATTATTTAATTATTAATAATTCACTATTATAATTGTCATTGTTATTATTGTTATTGTTACTATCATCTTTATTATTATTTTTATTTTATTACCGCTATATATATTTCAATTATTATTATACTACTATCATGGTAAAATAATGTCACTGTTATTATACTATTTTGTTTGTTACCGTCACTGTCGACCATTATAACTGCCACTTCTATTGCAAGTTATGGTCTTTATTTTCGTAGTTATTGTGATCGATTTTGTTATTAGTGTCAGTACTATTATACTTGTGCACCACTTTGTTATTACTACTAAAACTATATTACTATATTACAACTAGTATTATCGTTATTTTTTTTTTTTAATTATTATTATTATTATTTTTATTATTGTTATTATCATTGTTTTATTGTAATTTCTATAATTAATATTAATGTCATTGTCATAATTGTAATATGTCCTTAAACATTGTTGTTGGTGGTGTTAGTCATAGTATTAGTTTAATTATAATTATTATTAAAATCATCAATAATTAATATAAATAAAAAATAAAAAATATATATAATTTTTATATTATACAAGTTATTTTTTTTATTCCTTTAAATGCGTAATTTTTACTAAGTATATGAATAAGTTATTTTTTAAAAAAAAAAAACATAATATCTACTAAACTAAACTGTATTTATAAATATTTTAAGTTTGTGATTTTATAATTTAAAATCTTTAAATAATTAAATAAGTAAGAGTAAATTGTTTAATTAGTAACTGGATCTATGTTATATGTCAAATCTTTTTATTATTTACGGAATTTTTATTATACAATTAAAAATAATAATATATTATAAAATTATTGAGCAATATACAATAAAATAAAATACATATATTAATATCTAAAGTTTAAAAACTCGTAACTAAATTATTAAATAATGACATCGTATTAAATTTTTATGTGAATAACTTAAAATTTTATTCGTACATCTCGATTAAATATGAATTTAAACTCTATCCAACAAATTAACCTAAACTTATTCGCAACATAACTATAATAAAGTTAGATTATAATAATTTAATACTAAAGTTAGATTTAGGAAATGAATTTTTTACAATAAAGTGATAAATGATATACTATATGGTTTATGAGAAATGAACTTCTTTTATTTAATTCTAAAACAAGAGTTTAATTTACAAACAGAGATGAATTGAATGCATTATCTTGTGGCCGTCACTGCCAGTATTTACAATTTCTAAACATCATTATCTGTTACTCTTAGGTTTAATATCTTATATATATATATATTATACATCTTTTCAACAGGTTATACATGTGTATAAATATGTATAGATGGATCTATGTGTGTGTTTATGATCAGTTCTTAATTAGTTAGCTTAGAGGGAGTCATATCTTCTCATCTGCTGGTATTTTCTAAGATATATATATTAATATTCTGTATGTCTTTACATTATACATACATATATATGTGCTTAGATGGAAAGAAATAAAAAAAAATGAAAGAAAACATTTATATATTATATAACAATACGACATTAAATGTATTGAAGATTCTGTAATTAACCTCCTAGAATATGAGACTGATAGAACATCCAAAACAAACCCCAAACTTTCAGCATTTCTATGTCTGAATCTTCTTCGCATCGTCACTAACAATATAACTTGAAGGCTCCATTGAAAACACAACAGCCCATTATAGCCTATGCATATAATTCCAAGAAATAGGTTTCTTTTTCCTTCTTCTTTTTCTAGGGAGAAGTTGCAGAAGACTCTCTTGGTTTCTCCCCCTTTTTGTTCGATTGATTCCCAGAAAGACTTTTTCTGTTTGCTTCCTTTTGTTCTGATATTACCCATGTACATATCTATATATATGTATTTATATTTATGTAGGTATGAAAAATTCTATTAGCAGTCACTCTTCCGGAATGACGACGACAAAGGGTTGCCAAAGAAAGAGAGAAAAATTCTCTTGTTATGGTAAGAGAAGTTGCCATTTTAATCTTCCTTCTTCTGTTCAGAACTATTTCAGTAATTTCAGACCTTTTGATCTCCCATCCAAACGTAATATTCACTTATTTAATTCAAACAAAAACAAGTTTATCAGCCCTAGTTTTCTATATTCATCACCCGCCACAACTTCCAATGATTCTCCTACTTTTAATTGGAGTCACAGTGGATTAACAGTCACCTGTAGTGCTCATCATAATAATTCACTCATCAGTTTTGATCTTCTTCGTGGGTCTACCACAAATCCTTCTCCTTCATCATCTCATCCTCATTATCATCTTCACCGTCCGAAAGTAGTAAATGGGTCAGATCAAATCTTGCCTTTACATGCTTTCTCTCTCTAATCCAGTTCAGTTTAAACACGAGCTCTAATACCCTTCAAACATGTATAATCACAATAAAATAAAATTAGAAAGAAAAGAACACAAAAATTTTACATGTTTCGACAGTGTAATTACATCTACGGACAAGACCGATGAAAAGATATTACACCATATAATCTAATAAAACATCACCAATAAGTTAACAATCCTATTTATAAAGAGATTTAAAATAAATTATTTTTAAAATATAAATAAATATCACTAAAATTCAAAACTATAATTTTCTGCACCTCCCCCGTAGCCTATTTATATTACATATAAATATATATATGTACATATATGTATATATATATATATTTAGGCATGATACCAGGATCTATGTGCGTTCCATTTATATATATATATATATATTTATATTATAAGAAGCCGAGTTAGCTAGCTACGAGTTAAATGAATTAGGGCAGTCTTATTAATTTTATATTAAATTAATTAATTAAACAATAATAAAAAATTACTATTTGATAATAATAACAATAATAAAAATTGAATTACGTACTGATTTTTTATTCAACTATTATAAGATATTATATATATATATATATACATATTTTGAATTACTACAATACTTACAATGCTAATTGAAGTGATAACTATGCACATAAAAATAGAGAATCAGATGATCAGAAAATGTTTCTCCACAATTTTTTTAATACATTTTATCATTTTTATAGAATAAAATAAATGCAAATGCAGAGACTAATTAATTGGAGAAATTTAAAGCATAATAAATGTTCCATTTAAATTACTTCTTTAAATTTGAAAAGATTATTATGATACAAAGAGAATATAAGAAATATAAAACTTGATTGTGATTAATTTTGAAAATATTTAAAATTTGATAATTCCCAAGATGTAATTGAAGAAAAGGGCATTTAGGTTTTTGAACAAATAACTAAAAGAAAATCTCTCAATTTTGAAATATATATATATATATATATATATAGACATTAAATCCCTCAATCCTTAAAAAAAAAAAAAAAAAGAAAAATCCAAAGGCTTCTTACAATTACAAGAAGCAATACGTGTGTAAAAGAGAGAATATATATATATGGATGATCTGAAAGAATGTAAATATATGTAGACACATATATCAACTAAAACCCATTTCAACATTCATCTTCTCCTGTGCTGTTCTTTAAAAATTAAGTAAAAACCTCAGTTCTTTACGGGTTATGTTCCTTCTTCATCATCACCATTGATTTTGTTTTGGAATTGAAATGGCTTCTTCTCAATCTCCTTCTTACCAGGCCATGGAGGAATTTTTTTTTTTATGTGAAATCATTTGAGGCAGTTGGCGATGGTGTCACCGACGACACCCTGGCTTTTTAGCAATGCTGGGAAAAGATCTTGCCCAACCCAAACAGCCACACTCTTGGTTCCTCAAGAAAATACATTCAAGGGGAGCTTATATTTCAGCTCTGCTGTGTGTTTTCTTCCTCTACAAATTAAGATAATGTTCCAACATGGAGTGCATATATATATATATATATATATTTACATATACGTTAAGTATAAATTTTTACTAAAAAGTCAAAATTATTTTAGACTGATGAGGAAGACGGTGGTTGGGTGTAAGAAAGGTTCTTTATTACATGCTGCTTCACACTTTCCATTCTTCTTGTAGTAATCAATTCTTCATTGTAGGCTATCCAGCAATTCCTATTCCTGAGTACATACATACATATATATATATATATATGTATATGTATATAAAATACGCAACACCCAGGTATTACGAGTAAAAAAAATTATATATACAACCCATTATTTAGATCATTTATTGCAAAGCATATATGCATGCTTCAACTAATTCATATATCTTACTTAAAATAGAAGTGTTTAATGTTTGGAAGATAATGCTTAGTGAAGATTATATTAGTTTTTACCCACCATTAGCAAAATATTTCTCTATATATGTACATATACCCCAACAGAGTGCCTCTCGGCCAAACCTGGCCACACACTCGCACATTCTATGGTTTCCGACTATGCTGTTCCCTCTCCCATTCATGCTTTTACCAGCAGCCGTTCAAGTGCAGAATCTGCTCCTTGTTTCATTTTCCTAATTTCACTACCTCTCTCGGGTTGTAAACAACTCCCTTCTCAATCTTACCAACTCATTTCCCTGCTCCTGTCACACCTTTTTCCCTTTGTTCCATCTCTTGTCATTCTCTCTCATTTTCCCTGCACTCACACCAAACTTACTTTTGTTCTTATTCTTCTGTTCCCTTCTCACATTTTTACTTCCAATTCACATACTGTTGTACCGTTGGTATAGCTACAACTCAAAACTTCTACACCGTTCCTCCCCACGACGACATTATCATATTCTACATCAGCTCACCATCTCCTCCGGTATATTCTCCCCTAGCCTCAAAATTTGAGTTTTATATAACAAGTATCTCACTCCCATCTCGCATATCTGCATTTCTTGAAATCTTGTACTCCTAACATCCACTCAATAGAGTGTTCAACCAATCAGGTATTATCTCCTGAAAATCCTTCCACAGTTCTATCCGAAATTCAACTAGTCCCTTTTTCCCTACACTCGGTTTCGCGGATCTGTTTAGCTCATTTAGGAGAGCAACATATTTCTTCTTACTGAAACCCCATTAGCCCTTTAATTCATATCGGTTTACCCTTCTGCAACAATACCCGATCACCTAAGATCTATCGTGTCTCTCAATGATTTTACAACACCCATTCTCTTAATTCCATCATTCCGTCTTAAAAGAACTTCAATATTCAAAGAATGTTCACATACATTATTCTATCATAGAATTAAAATTTAATCATAATTTTCATAATGCATGAATTTAAACGCACACATTTCATATTCGGGTTTCAAAGATCAAATTGATCTTACCTTCCGTTGGACGATTCGGTTATACTTTCTGCCTAGCCTTCACAGAAATCAACCCCCCCCCCCCCCTTTTTCTTCTTCTGTCAGCCTCGCTTCTCGGTTCTGCTTCCCTTCCTCCTTCTCTTCCTCTCTGCCACTCTCTCCGTGTTTCCTCCTCCCTCTCTCTTTTTCTTTTTTTCTTTTTTTTTGAAAACAGTGCTCTTTATACGGAAGATGAAATTAAATTGTGGCCGTCCATTGTAAGATGAGAGTGGACCGTTTCAAAACGTACTCTCAATTCTCGCCCATGCGATTTGCCACGCAGTTCACACGTGGCGTTTCAGACCCCACGTGTCCTTAGTTATTTGGCTATTCGGGACACGTCAGTCACTGAGGTGTCAAGAGACTTTTTAAAATGAGAGATATCTTTTCAGTTTAATACTTTGTAATTTACGGATTTTCCCTAATTCCTCAAATTGTTTTCACCGTAGTCCCTAGGAATTATTTTTCTTAATTTATATGATTTCCAAATATATTAAACTTTTTTGTACATATATTTGTTAAATTACTTATTTATTTATTTTTAAATTAATATTTGTATACATAATTTTATTAATTGTATAAAATACAATTAGTGTTCAATTATTGTTACAATATATATATATATATAAAAATTAATTTGAAATAACAAAAAGTTCCAAGGGGGCTATAGCCAGTAAAATTCAAGGCTTTAATAAAAGTCGGTCCAAAGTAGAAGCTGAGGACTTTGGAAAATTAATTTTCTTCATCAAATTCAATGTTGACCCAATTGATGAAAATATTCATTTATTTTATTTTATTTATTTTTAATTAAAAGGAAAAGCCAGTTGGTCATCACAAATTTCTTTCTATAAACAGTAAAATGGTTAATCTAAATTTATCAATTTCAGAAATATACGCATACATACATATATATATATATATATATTACTACCACCATGAGACTTTAATATATTACTTCATTTCCCTTTCATTCTAAATATACGCATATATAACCATATGTATACAATAATAAATATATATAAGTTTAAATAATGTTAGATGCATACATAAATATAAGTTGAATACGTAGGGTATTATTTTAAATTATAATAATTATATAAAGATTATAAAATTTATGCATCAATTAAAGTATAATAACAAACCTCATGAATCAATTAATTAGTTCTTGTAAGTAATAATCAATTATTATATTTATATAGTTAGTTAGGAAGCTCACTTTAAATTAACGAATTTAAATATAATTGGACCTTGTATTATATGAATTGAACCACCTATATCTATTACCTTTTCTTTTACGTTTGAAATAAATTGTGATTTAATTTTAATATAAAAAAAAAAAGATTTGTCAAATATTTTAATTATTAAAAATTTAAGTTAATAAAACTAAATCTAAACTATTTATATCATAATATATTTCACTAAACATTGTCTGGAATTAATTTTTAATACCATGTTAAATGTTGTTTTTGATTGATTTATGATCAAATATCATAATATAATTCTAATAATAATAATAATAATAATATATATATATATATATATATACACACACACACATTTACTCAAGAGTCAAATATATATATATATATATATATATGTTAAATTTACAATACTGATCGAAGTTGCTAACTCCAATCAAAAGTTATATTTTGTTAATTCATACCTATAAATTATTAACTGATTGACTAACCCATATTATTCATTTGAAGGTATTTTCTGTAGCGTGTATATATATATATATATATTTATTTATTTACATATCAAGATTCTGTTACTCTTAGGTTTAGTATCTTATATATACATTATATATCTTTTCAACAGGTTATACATGTGTTTATATATGTATAGATGGATCTGTGTGTGTGTTTATGATCAGTTATTAATTAGTTAGCTAGAGGAAGTCATATGTACTCATCTGAAGGTATTTCCTACAATATATATATATATATATGTATATATTAATATTCTGTATGCAACTGCACACACACAAAATACATACACATATACATATATATATATATGTTTATGTTATCTGCAGTAGTACACTAGCTAGAAATTAATTAACCTCCCACACAGAGCATCTGTACAATAAAACCACCTTCCCAGAAATATATAGACACATATACAGATTCATTCATATAATTATCCATATATGTATTATATAGTAGAAAGTTGAAACTGTAATGATAACTCAAGTAATTGCCATATATCTATATATATATATATTATATAGACGGAAAGAACTCAAAGAAACGAAAGAAAACATTTATATATAACATAACAATACAACATTATATATCTATATATAACTTTGAAACTTCTGTAATTGACATCCTAAAATCTGACATTGATAGAACATCAAAACAAACCCAAACTTTCAGCATTTCTGTGTCTGAATCTTCTTCACATGGTCAATAACAATATAACTTGAAGCTCCATTGAAAAATACAAGAGCCCATTATCTACATATATAATTACTTAATAATGAAACTAATAGTTGCTATGGCCTATACATATAATTCCAAGACAATAACTTCATATATATATATATATATAGGTGGGAATATGATTAATTATAAATATATATATGTATAAAAGAAAGATATCAGTATATCCAAGATCCGTAAAATATATTATAAAAACTAACTTCATTCGGGGAATCAAGAGATTCCAACACCAAGAAAGTCTATGAAATCAACATCTTTGTTCACCTTGTTCGATTCATCGTCTTCCCGGCAATCATCTTGTTCACCAACTGTCTGCAAATGCTGTTTCCTCCTCCAAATTTCTTCACTTTCAACACGATTACTAAAAAAACGATGATGATGATGAGGAGGAGCAACAGCAGGCTTTGTTGCAAACAAACTTGGGTAGTTACTGAAAGGTAAGATTCGATCTGACCCATGTACTAATTTCTGATGATGATGATAATGATGATGATGAGACGATGATGAAGGAGTTGTCATGGACCCACGAAGAACATCAAAACCGATGAGTGAATTATTATGATGAGCACTACAGGTGACTGTTGATCCACTATGAGTCCAATTAGAAGTAGGAGAATCGTTAGAAGTTGTGGCGGGTGATGAATATAGAAAATTAGAGCTGATAAAGTTGTTTTTGTTGGAATTAAATAAGTGAATATCATGTTTGGATTGGGGATCAAAAGGTCTGAAATTACTTAAATAGGTTTGAACAGAAGAATTAGGAGTAGCAGTAATGGTGGTGGTGGTGTTGGAAGAAGGAGGATTAAAATGGCAACTTCTCTTTCCATAACAAGAGAATTTTTCTCTCTTTCTTCTCGCCATAACAACATGGTAATGATTCTTCACAGCATTATCAGTTCTTCCAGGAAAAAGCCTTGCAATGGAAGCCCATCTGTTGCCTTGAATCCGGTGAGCTTTCAGAAGGGTTTCTTCTTCTTTCTCTGTAAATGGCCTTTTGTTGATGTTCGGATCAAGTTGGTTATACCATCTTAATCTGCAACTTTTCCCTACAAAAAAAAAAAAAAAAAGAAAAAACAACCCAAACCCATTTCTTAGAAGTAGAGCAATATATATATATAAGTATCAATATGTATATGTATGTGATGATGATCAAGAGAGAATTTAAGTAAAAAAAAAAAAAAAAGAGAGAGAAAGAGAAAGAGAATTGATAGGGTACCTGATCTTCCTTGAAGATGCTGAGCAATGAAATTCCAATTCTTGGGACCAAAGTCTTTGACGAGTTGCCGGAGACGATCATCTTCCGCCGGCCGCCAGTGGCCTCTTTGACAACTCTTTGTCGTCATCATCCCGGCAGAGTCACTGCTCATAGAATTTTCCATACCTATATATGCATACAGATATGTATGTAGATAATATCAGAAGAAAAGGAAGGAAGCAGAAAAGGGTTTCTGGGAATTAATCAAACAAAAAGGAAGAGAAAGCATAACAAGAAGATATATAGCCAAAGAGAGAAAAAGAAAAAGAAAAGTGGGTTTGGTTTTCTAGGGTTATAGCTCACAAGTCACTTTTGTTCTATTTACAAGACAGGATCTGCTATATATATAAACACATACATGAACAACCACTCGCACCTTCAGTGTATACTTATTGACCAAATATATATTACATTATAATATATATATATATATATACACACACACACACATATATGTGTATGTTTAATTTGATAGAAAAGTATCTCCCATCGCCATAATAACTTCCTAAGTAACAACTCTTTTCATATTCTCTCTCTCTCTCTCTCCAGGCTAAGTTATGTATATATAAAATTTATATTCTCCATCAAGGGGCCAGAATAATTATATAATTATACATATATATGCGCAAGTTAATTTGGTGGCAATTAATGGGTAAGCTTTTTCTATATCTGAAATGTGTACATATACATACGTATACATCTAAAACCAACTTGCATTCTTTATGATTAAACCTAGCGAATTTTTACAAGTTTTTTGTTGCATGCAGTTTAATGGAGTGGTAAATATGGAAATATATATACATTTTCGGAAGAGGGTAGTTTTTGAAATTATTACTATCAAAGTTGTGGTGAATAATATCTTCATTTTTGGAAGAGGGTAGTTTTTCAAAATTATTCATGTCAAAATGTATGTCATTCTACTTTTTATGTATGTGGGGTAAAATTTTCAATTTTTACCCATATCTGTACGTATACGTATATGTATATGTGTATGTATATATGTATATTGTTAATTTATGTCATATAGATTTTGCTATATGTATGAATTTATTGGCTTGACATCATGTTCATGATGATTATAACAAAAAAAAAAATTAATTAAACTGTTACTTTCTATGAATTTCACTACTCTCCATATCATGCATCTGCTTAGATGAAGACAACACAACAAGACTGCTGCATCAAACTCTAGCCACCTATACCAAAATCATTTAGGTGCAATTGATGTGCTTCGTTTTATTCCAAACGCACATACATACATACATACATACATATATACATATATATATATAGTG